GGTGACGTCGTTGCGTCTCGGTTGAGGCGTTGTGTAGGCCGTCCTGCCCGCCGTGGCCGCTCAGATGGGGGTTGCTCTGCTAGTTCAGATAATTGGGGCCTGTCCTGCTAGCTCGGCTGCGGCCAGCAAGGGTGGTGGAGGCCTTCAGGACCTCCCAAGTCAGCCACGACTTTGTCACAGCAACAGAGATTGTAAACAAAACATCTGTCCCAGCTGTGGAGGATTTTCAGACTGTGCGAGTAGCATGTTGCAGTGAGAAAACGAGGGGCGCTGCATTACTTTTGGTCAGTTCTGTGTATTATATACACATATATATACACATATATGTGTATATATATGCTTATGTGTGTATATACACATGCATATATATGCATATCAATAGACACACTATGTATATAGTGTATATATATATATACATAAGTATATAGTGTATATACATGCGCAGTATATATAGTGTGTATTGAATTATTTGCATTTAGTAGAGTTTTTTATTTACATGTATTCCTACATGATGTGTAGAAGGCTGGCTACATGCTAGAGAGGTGCTGAATTGTTTTATAGGATCAAAGTCAGAAGTCTGGCTATTGGAAAATAGAGAAAAGCCGGCATGCTGTTGCTTCGTTAGACTGCTGCTGACCAGTGTATTTGTCTTGACTCTGAAGGCCCCGAAATCAAATGATGCTCTTTTTCAGATAGAAAACGAACTGTCTGCCCTTACTAGTATACTTAGTCGTCAGAGATACAGTTTGAACCTGTGCACACAAGAGAATTCTAAGGAAAGTCATTGAGTAAGGCTTTTCTGTTAAACAGGTGCTTTAAAACTTATTTCATCCTCCTGAGGCTGGTTGCTCCTTGCTTGTCAAGCTAGAGCGAATATACAGCGATATAGCATCTACCTTTAGAATTAAAAATAATAGAACTCCTTATAATCAAAACCCAAGATATGGCAGTAGAAAAGCAGTAGAAAAGCCAATCCAAGATCAGGCTTCCAGCTTTACGCCAGCTATAAATAGCTACAGATAACTGAAAAGGCTGCATTTACCCCCCTCTAATCTACTGTTTCATTGGGAGCTTTCTGTTTCCTACAAATAAACTTCCACAATCACAGGTGTCAGAGAATTCGCATGCAGAAGTCTGGAAATACAGTGGTGCCTGACATGCTTTGGAGCCTCTGCATTCCTTTTGCCTGATAGCTTGACAAAAGCAGACTCTGCAGCCTTTGAGAAGGAAGATGAAACTGAGAGACTAGATATATATGCTTAACATTTTTTTTTGGCAAAAAGTTGGATCTTCACACTGAATTATTAATCTATTTTCTGGTAAATAGACTGCAGTATATCAGTGCAGGATGATCACCAAAGTATTCTTTTTTAGTTATTGTGCACATGAAATCTAGCTGCATTTCTTATGTCAGTGATTGCTGCAGTACAATTTCAGATATCTCTAATGAGTGCTACTTTTCTCTGATTAGTATTTCTGTGGGATACTAATTTAAAGAGAGCTTTTATTGATTGATTGATCTGTTCCTAGACCAGTGCTCAATCTAATGGTCACAAACATTGTATTTTTCCATTAATCTCTTCTGCCTGCTGAGTTTTTCTGACCTCGTTATTGTGCTCAGTGTCACTAGGACATTGGTCTCAAACCTACAAATAACTGCTTGTGTGAAGTCCTTAATTTCAAGGAAGGTACTTATTAATGTGAGCAAAGTATAAACCTGGCCCTTTTACTTCAAAGAAAATGATAATCATAAAAGATAGAAAGCCCGCCACGTGTGTTAGGGAATGGCAAGAGCTCAGCCTTTGCACAAACATGAAACATCACGGAAAGATTCAGGCTGTCTGTGCTGTGACTTTGGGTCTCCCACAAAACATACAGACTTCATAATCCTTTAAAACTGTTGTTTTCTTAAGGTATATCCAGCAGTTCTTTTCTTCCCGTGGAGTTGACTTCTAAGATATTATTTCACTGCTAAGCACCTGACTTTCATTCTCTGTCAAGAAAATAAAATATCAGTATTCAGGTTTGTAACTCAGCTGCAAGTACAGAAACAGTTGAAAGCTGAACTTCCGGAAGAAGCTTCTTTGGAAAATCAATGTCTTGACCTATCCCAGAGCATTCTGTGTTTACACAGCTGCATTGATATCTAGGTAGAAGCAGCATTTTGAAACTCACTGCCATCTTATCCAAAATTATACAGTCCCCGAAATTACTCTGTAAATAATCAGCCTGTTGAAGTGTTTTAGCCTTGGCCACTCCCGTTGTTTCCACAGTCAGACTAGTGTAGCATTTCATCTGGCTAGAAGACTACTGGAGAATTCCAATTTGTCTTGGAACATCAGCCAGCAAAATCTCGGCTCTTAGGGGTTTTATTTCTTGCTGACAACATGCACAAATATTATTCCCACTAGTTGTCAAATGATCCACTAAATCCAACAGACTGTAAGTCCCTGTTGACGGCCCTCTCCAATCCAGGATGAGAGAAAATGGTGTGGGTATTTTTCTTTTGTTGTTGTTTTCCTTCTAGGGAAATATGTCACAAGTATCATGTAAACAAAGAACTTCTTTGTTGTTGTTGTTTTTCTTTCCTGTCATTCAGGCAGTTCAGTCAGTTGAGCTATGCTAAACAGACAATTAGCTAGTGAATCTTGCAATATTGTTAAAAAAAAAAGCCTTGACAAGAACACACACACACACAAACTCTTTAGAAAACCTCCAATATTCCTCATGTCTGACTTTTAAACAGTTCCTATGTTTTGTTTGTCTGGATTCGAGTAAATGTATATTTTGTTCTTGTTGGCCCACATATAACTGCAAAAGTGGCATTAGGATTTCATGTTAATTTGCCTAAAGCAATCAATCAGCTGTATTAAATCTTAACCATTGCTTATAAATGCAAAATAAGTCTGAAAGACTATGGTTGGCTTCTGAACACTCATACGTGTTCAGGAGGGCAGTTTTCCAGGTGGGCAGAAGCAAAAGCTTGTCTGTTTCAGCAGCATTCGTTTTCTAGTACTTGGCTCTGCCTTAATGAGCCAGCATGGAATTAGCTCCCTTCACACATAATCACTTTAAAACTAGTGTATTTATATAAGAAGTATGAATGAAGTAAGGCGATAACTGCCTGACTGAGACTTGAGTCAAAGGGAACAGTCTCTGCAAGGCAGAATGCTGCATGATCACCTCTGTGGTGAGATCTGGACTGTCCAACTCACCTTCTTTGTACTGGATCAAGTCATCTGAGGACCTTACTGGGTCCTAAAGGTCGACACAGCTGTAAGCTACATTGCTGTAAAGGGGTGGTAATGTTTGGTTTGGAGCACAAGTTAGGCTAAATAGTATTAAAGGAGCAACGTCGTGACAAACCAGCATTTGTACTCTTTTTTTTTTTTTTTTTTTTTTTTTTTGCAGCTAAGCCACAAGATGGCAGGAAAGCAGTTGAAAGAAATGTCTAGAAACAAGTATGATCAAGAAAGGAGGTAATTTTCCTCATGAAGGCCTTATAAAGTTTTGGTATCTATGGATAGACTTTTAAATAATGTGATCTAACTGTAACTTGTTGTAAACCCTCATACCATGTTTTCCTTTAATCTCCTGCTTGTGGGTGAGAACAAATGCTGCCTTTTCTTTTGCTATAGACTGT